AGGCATGGGAAGGATCACACCTCAAGAGTCTTTGACATCAGGCGGGATTTTCACAAACAGGGCCTGCTCCACTTAAAGATTAGGTACCACAAAATGTCTTACAGAGATGTGGGGTGGTTGGGAAAAAGCAAACATATTCGTATCAAATAAAAAACATACATTTGAAGCTGAACTGAAGCTGAACTCTGCAGGAACATGTATCACTTTTCTCCCTATCACATAGAAGCATTGTACCTACGTTTTGTCAGGAAATCTCTTTTACATTCAAATATTTTGAAACTATGTCTAGGACCTAACTTCATTTCTTCCACCAAACTCTTAGACCCTTCCAAATCATGTTATAAATAATTTCTGACCAAAAGTTGGAGAGATAATTCAGGAGTTAAGAGGCTTGCTTTATTTGTGGCCAACCCTGGTTTGATCCCCACTACCATATGGTCCTCAAGCACCACTGAGAGCAATGCCTGAGCACTGAGTCAACGTAGTCCCCAGCACCTCTGGACATGTTCCACCCCCAAGCAAACTTTAATAATTTATGACCAGAAATAGAAATTTTTTAAAAAATTGGATCATACCTGGCTCTTTGCCCAAGGATCACTCCTGATGGAGTAGGAGAATCATACGGAGTACTGGGAATTAAACCTAGGCTGGCCTTCTGCAAGACAAGTGTTCCACCTGCTGTTCTACCACTCCACCCTTATGATTAAAAAAATTAATTATATAGTAATTAAGAGAGTGGAATTTAGAATTTCATTACCTGGGCATGATCTGGTTTCATCACTTATGAGTTGTATGATTCTGGGGTAATTATTTAATCTCTGCAACTGTTTCCTCATCTGTAAAAATGGGATCTGATAGAGGAGCTGTAAGAACTGAATGGGATAATTCATGTGGAACACATAATAGGTACTCAAAAATATTCCTTATTAGGCTCTGCCCCCCATTTCCTCTGAAAAATTATAGTCAAACTAGAATGTGTGAAAGCTTTTATCAAATGAAATAAAAACTTCTGTAAAGATACAGAGTGAGATTTATCTAGGTTAAGAGCATTCAACTCTTCTCTTCCCCCATTCTGCCTCTCTGCTGGACAAGGGCTCCAGCAGGTTTGAAAGCATTTCTTCTTGGAGAAACAGTAGGAAGGAAAAGCAGGTGATAAGGATAGTAATTTCCCAGGTGTCCTGGTGAACTGCTCATGGTCACTTAACACCTCAGGGAGCTGTTTTCAAGCTCATATGGAAACCAAACAGTCCTAGCATATTGGGAAAACATGAGGGGCGTAGGGAATCTTGCCTTTGAAAACTGTGGGGTTCTTCTGGGAATATATCCCGATTGTGCAAATAAGCACAGTAGAAATTTCACCTGCACCTATATGTTCATTGCAGCAGTGTTCACAATAGCCAAAATTTGGAAATAACCCGAGTGCCCGAGAACAGATGACTGGTAAAAAAATCTTTGGTATATCTAGACAAAGGTATACTATGCAGCTGTTAAGAGAGATGAAGTCATGAAATTTGCTTATAAAGTGAATAGATATGGAAAGTATCATGCTAAGTGAAATGAGTTAGAAATATAGGGACAGACATTTGGACTGTGCTCATTTGTGAAATATAAAATAGCATAACATGAAACTGAAACCCAAGGACAGTAGACACAAGGGCCAGGAAGATTGTTCCATAGTTGGAAGACTGCCTCATGAGCAGGGGAAGAAGACAACTGGATTGAGAAGGGATCACTAAGAAAATGATGGTTGGAGGGATTGGTCGGGATGGGAGATGTGTTCTGAAAGTAGATAAAGGACCAAACATGATATCCTCTCAGTATCTATATCGCAAAGCATAATGCCTAAAAGTAGACAGAGAGTATGGGGAAAATTGTCTGCTATAGAGACGGGGGAGGGTGGGAACGGGGGAGTATACTGGGGAGAATTGTGGTGGGGAATGTGTACTGGTGGAGGGATGAGTGTTTAATCATTGTATGAATGTAACTCAAACATGAAAGCTTGTAACTGTATCTCAAGGTGATTCAATAAAACAAAACAAAACAAAACAAAACAAAAGAAGAAAGAAAAGAAAACTGTGGTCTGATATTCTTAATAGGTACTCTATAGTCCTAAACCTGCGGACTGACTTCTGCTCAGATCCTGGTCATTTTGGACTAATACATTGGTTGCCCTGCCTTTTTGATTTCAACTTGTCACTAAGATGCCACCTCTACAGACTGAGAGTCACAACTCTGTCATCTGCATAGAAAACCAATATGGAAGATGGTTTAGAAATATAGATAGTATTGGCATGAATGGTTTCACCTTCTTTGACTAAGAGTGAGGACTCTCAAGCCAAACTCTCCAAAGCTTACTCATCTATCACCTTCTAGAGTATGAGTCAGTTCAGATACTTTATCAACCTGTGCCTTGGTTTTCCTCATCTGTAAAACGGGTAGATTAGTCATCTCCATCCCACAGGATGACTGAAAGAATTAAATCAATTACTACATCTGAAGCAATAGCACAGCAGGTAGTGAGTTTGCCTTGCATGCGGCTCACTGGGGTTTGATTCCTCCGTCCCTCTCAGAGAGCCCAGCAAGCTACTGAGAGTATCTTGCCCGCATGGAAAAGCCTGGCAAGTTACCTTAATTCGATATGCCAGAAACAGTTAACAACAAGTCTCACAATTTGTTGTGAGTTGTTACGGGTGCCCACTGGAGCAAATAGATGAACAACGGGAAGACAGTGCTACTACATATGTAAAATACAAAACATATGCAAGTATACTATTAAATTTGATTAAACCCATGTGAAACAATGTACATGAAACATTGGCTATATTTATGCAATATTTTATACAAGTTACATATGTTTAATTTTCTATATATTTTATACTAAGATAGCTGTTTCATATAAAATGTTGTGTTTATATATGTGTATTTATTTGTATTATTACTGCTGTTGTTATTATCTGCTCTGTTTCCCTATGTGGACAGAAAATAGTGGGTAGGTTTAAGTTTGTAGCTGTTGTCTAGAGTTACAAATGCAGAAGCCCTCATTTCTAGAGACAGACCACACATGCGGAGCAGGATTTGAGTTGGATTAAAATTAACCCAATTATTAAGAAAATTCTAATCTAATTCTGTATCACTGTATCACTGTCATACTGTTGTTCATCATTTTACTCGAGTGGGTGCCAGTAACGTCTCTATTCGTTCCAGGCCTGAGATATTAGCAGCCCCTTCTTATTCGTCTTTCCCAACAGTTGGAGGCTCTTTCAAGAAGATCAGGGAAATGAGACCTGTTTTGGCATATCGAATATGACACGGTAGCTTGCCAGGTTCTGCCCGTGCAGGCAGGATACTCTCTGTAGCTTACTGGGCACTCCGATATATATATATATATATATATATATATATGTATATATATGGCCCGCTCGAGCAAATATATAATACATATGCATATATATTTCTCTCTATTATCTGTTGCCTACTGTCTGAACTCCATCAAATATGGTGTGGTAACTATGGACAATGGGTAGGAAGTGTTTCATGATGTGTCTGAAAAGTTGCTTGGAACCTGGCGGTGGTTGGGTAGTGGAGCTGGGCTGCCGGGGCTGGGTCTCTTGGGGCAGAGAGGGATCTCACCCACTCCCCCTGTGGGACTCCCCACGTGGAAACATCCTGGGGTGGAGTCCAGTGTCATGGTTATGGGGACCTCCTTTTATACTCCCCTCTGGGAGGAGCAGCCGTGAGTTATGGAGGGTGGTCAATGAGATTATTTGGTGCTGCTGGTTGTGACTTATGGGTGTGACCCCTGGGTCAACAGAGACTGGGGGAAGCAGACAGCATCTCTGCTTGGCTCAAGCGTCTGAAAGTGGCCTAGAGTGTGGTGACATTTGGGTGGTGAATGTAGGCTGCCGGAGCTGGGTCCCATGGGGTGGGGAGAGCTCTAATTTTTATCTAACCCTAGTTAGATTAAAATTGCATATAAATACTAATTCTCAGATTCTTATGTAATTCTTAAGTAATTCTTCTTATATATCTTTATTTCAATAATTACATTTATTTCTTAATGTTTCAAAAGGTTTTCTCTCTCTGGAGCAACTAGCAACAAAGAAATGTCAACCAATATATTTCTTATAATGTTTTATAGCCTGTTACCCCAATACTTTATTTATTCAGCGAAGTAGACATTCATAAAAATAAATAGGCATTGTGAGGCCTATTTAAATTAGCCAAGATCTGGTGAACCCAAGTGTCAAACAACAAACACGTGGATGAAGGAGATGTCATTGTATACACACAATTAAATATTAACTAACTGAAAGAGAAAGATGAAATATTGCCTTTTGTAACAGTATGCATGGAAACAGAGGGTTTCATGCCAAGTTAAATAAGTCAGAAAAAGGAATGATTTTATTCACGAGATAAATGAGAAACAAAACAAGGGAATAGACACTGTTCAATGAAAACAAACACTTACACTTTAATTACCCACGGTGGAAGTAGAGGATGGGCTGAAAAGAACCTCAGGGAAGGAATATTAGAATTTTGGTGGAGAGAAAAGAGTGTGACAGTGTACCCCTATATAAATGCTACCACAAAAATGTTTTAATATTTTAAAATTTAAAAAAATTAAATATTTTATGTGTCTCCTAAATATTTTGAACACACACATACACACATATAGTTTAACCCATTGTTTGATAAATCTATAATCATATCCATTTTGGTTAGCTTTGACTTTAGTTTTGATATGATCATTTTTAAAATTTCTATTTATTTATAGAGTCAAAATGAGGGTAAAATTTTTTCATCTTCAAATGGTCAATAATCCATGTGTTAAGCTTGAATTCCATAGCAATAATGATTTTCACATAGCAACTGACTTTAATTGAGAGACACCTTATGGATTTATGATAACTGACATAACATCAACCCCCACAAACCACTTCCTTTCCAGCAAATAGAAAACAACTGAGAGCGTGACTTTGTCAGTTTTGAGCACTGAAGCAGAGAATTGTATCTTTCCGGCAATCATGAAGTCTGATTTCTGGTATTTCTTTCTATTCTGCTTTCAAGTTGAAGTTCTAACAGGTAAGTGGTTTATTGAGTATTTCTTATTGCCATAATTCAAGTGAACTTGACAAGTTTCACTAATACAAATCCAAGTTAGAAATGTTAATCATAAAATAGCTATGCGTTTAATTTTTATGCAGAAAAAAATTGTAGAACAGTCCAAGTTCATGACTAAGGAAATTTGTCCCCTTTACTACTGTTGCAGTGGTGTTTGCACTGCAGTCTTTGATATAATATTTGAATATGAAGCAAAATATTTCATCAGACCATTAAAATTTTAAGTTACCTGGTTGTTACCCTGTTGCGGCAAAAAAGTAGAAGTTGCTTTCTGTTCTCAGAGAAGAGGAAGGGCAAAATAATTTGTGTCAACAGATTGAAAATTAAATAAATCCTGACATTTGGACTAGAAATTATTTCTGAAGGAGAAATTATAATAGCAGAGGACTTTGAAAAGAGGGATTTTGATTTTAATTTTACCTGGTTGTTCTACTGATAGAATGCCTGGGATAACTTGGTAAACTATTAATACTACATTTTGGGGTCCCTGGGAGGACTAGTTCTTTTTGACATAAAAAGTAAATCTGACATTCTCAATTATTTCTAATATATGGTTTATGTTAGGCTCAATTTGAACTATTTAACTCTGCACTATGTTCTTGAGGTATGCAAAAATGAGAGGTTCGATTAACTGTAAAAATGGAAGTAGAACTTAATTGTTCAACTAGAAGTAAATATTGCCTAGTTTCAAAGAAATGGACTTTATATTCCCAAATTTAAAAGAGAACTGGTAAAAAATTTGATCTTGTAGTGCCTCAAGATGACTAAAATTCTTTTACTATATCCTAATTCCTCATTCTTCAATATAATTAAGCCCCAAGGATTACTTGCTTCTTTAACAATGCCTTTCCTATAACCCAATGAAGTTTTTTAATATCATGCACAACAAATTAATATTCACTCATTCACATGCACCATGCGCTTTCCATGAAGAAAGTATTGTGCTAGCTACTGTACTTACAATGATGAGCAAAATGATTTTTTTCTCTTCTCATGAAATTAATGAATGGCTGGGAAAGAGGGATCAGTTAAATTGTCTCAGGAAGTAATGGCAATTGTAATCACAACTCAGCTTTATAAAATAATGTAAAAAAATAATGGGTGAGTGTGGATGAAGGATTTTGAGAACAGAGTTCATTGAATCTTTATTGTGGAAATAGTTTATAAGCTGAGATTTGAAGCAAGTATTAAAAAAGTGGAAAACATGGTGGGAGGTTAGGGAGGAATATGGCATAACAAGAAAAGCAAGTGCAAAGCATCTGTGGTGAGAGAATAAAAACACCATGTGCCTGAGCACTGAGAAGAAAGAATGGTCAGGTTACAACATGAGAAAAGAAAGGAAAGTGTGGGTTAGAATACTCTACTTTATGAGCCATATTAAGGATTTTGACTTTTTTTTACTAGAACATGTCATAGACTGATTTGTTTGTATTATTAAAATCATCCCACTCTGCCCAACACATTGGGGCATTTATGGTGGTGCTATTGAACACAGAGATCTAGCAATGGTTTATTTTTTGTGTGGAAAGTATATCTAGTCTAGCTAGCATTATTACAAGTTACGCCTGCACGGCAGAGCCTGGCAAGCTACCTGTGATGTATTCGATATGCCAAATATAGTAACAACAAAGTTTCCAATGGAGACGTTACTGGGCCCACTCGAGCAAATAGATGAATAACGGGAGGACAGTGACAGTGACAGTGATCTGACAAAGCTAGGAATAAATTGCATTTCTGGAATATTTGTCTTGGGTTATAACTTAATACCATCACTGTTCATTACATAGAGAACCATGTTTCATGACAAGCTATTTTTCAGGTGGTAAATAATAGGTATGAATGACTAAATGGTCATAATAAATCACTGTCACTGTCACTGTCCTCCTGTTGTTCAATTTGCTCGAGCGGGGCCCAGTAACATCTCCATTGTGATAATTGTTACTGTGTTTGGCATATCGAATATGTCACAGGTAGCTTGCCAGGCTTTGTCATGCGGGCAAGATACTCTCAGTAGCTTGCCAGGGTCTCCGAGAGGGGTGGAGGAATCGAACTCGGGTCATCCATGTTGACTGCTTGCAAGGCAAATGCCTTACCTGCTGTGCTATCTATCACTCCAGTTGGTCATATTAAATATAGTTTGTAATCTTAACATTCATAATATCACCACTATACATTCACCTCGCAACTATAATTTTTTTTATTATTATTAGTGAGACACCATGAGGTACAGTTGTAGACTTACAAACTTTCTATTTGGGTTTCAGTTATACAATGATCAAGTACCCATTCCATCCTCCCCCACCCCGCCCAACTCTATGGCAGGGCATTCCCTTTTGCTCTCTTTCCTTTAAGGTAGTGTGATTTACAATAGAGGTATTGAGTGGCCATCATGTTTGGTCTATAGTCTACTTTCAGCACACGTCTTGCATCTCGAGTGAGTCCTCCAAACACCATTTACTTGTTGTTCCTTTCTCTATCTGAGCTGCATTTTCCTCCAGCATGTGCTGCCAGCTTCTAAACCGTGGAGCAGACCTCCTGGTACTTAACTATTCTTGGGTGTTCGTCTCCCATTCTGTTACTTTATATTCCCCAGATGAGTGCAGTCTTTCTATGTTTGTCCCTCTATTTTTTTTAAAAAAAATTTATTAGTGAGACATCATGAGGCACAGTTGTAGACTTACAAATTTTTTTTATTAGTGAGACATCATGAGGTACAGTTGTAGACTTACAAATTTTTGTGCTTGGGTTTCAATTATACAATGATCAGATACCCATCCCTCCACCAGTGCCCATTTCCCACCACCATGGATCCCAGTATCCCTCCCACCCTCCATCCCCCCATCCCACCCTGCCTCTGTGGCAGGGCATTCCCTTTTGTTCTCTCTCTCTTATTGGGTGTTGTGGTTTGCAAAAGAGGCAATGGGTGACAATCATGTTTGGTCTATAGTCTACTTTCAGCATGCTTCTCCCATCCTGGGAGGATCCTCCCAACACTCTTCTCTATCTGAGCTCCCTTGGTGTTCCCTTCTCTATCTGAGCTCCCTTTTTTCCTAGCATGTGTGGTTGGCCCGGTACTAATCTCGGCCATTCTTGGGTGTTAGTCTCCTATTTTGTTACTTTATGTTCCCCAGATGAATGCAATATTTCTATGTCTATCCCTTTCTTTCTGAGTCATTTCGCTTAACATGATACTTTCCATGTGGTACCACTTGTATGTAAATTTCATGACTTTGTCTTTTCTAACAGCTACATAGTACTCCATTGTATAAATGTACTAAAGTTTCTTTAACCAGTCATCTGTTCTAGGGAACTCAGGTTTTTTTCCAGATTCTGGCTATTGTAAAGAGTGCTGCAATGAACAAACAATTGCAGATGTCACTTCGACTATACTTTTTTGCCTCTCTGGGATATATTCCCACATATTGCTATGTTTCTCTCTTTATGACTCATTTCACTTAGCATGATACTTTCCATGTAGAACCACTTGTTTGCAAATTTTATGACTTCATCCTTTCTAACTGCTGCATAGTATTCCATTGTATAGATGTTCCAAAGTTTCTTTAACTAGTCATCTGTTCTCGGACACTCGGACTTTTTTATCTTTTTTCGGATTTTGGCTATTGTGAACAGTGCTGCAATGAACATACAAGTGCAGATGTCATTTTGACTATACTTTTTTTTTTGCCTCTCTGGGATATATTTCCAGGAGTGATATTTGCAACTATAATATTTAGTGGCTCTAAACACAAGGTACCAGGACAAACTAACTTCAATAAGCATTTAAGGTTTTCTTCTTTTTTTTTTGCTTTTTGGGTCACACCCAGCGATGTACAGGGGTTGCTCCTGGTTCATGCACTCAGGAATTACTCCTGGCTATGTTTGGGGGACCATATGGGATGCTGGGAATCGAACCCAGGTCTGGCCGCGTGCAAGGTAAATGCCCTACCCACTGTGCTATCACTCCAGCCCCAACATTTTCTCCTTTTGGCATATGTTTTTAGTTCTCTCAACTACCTAGTCATTCTCATCTTACAGAGGTAAGTAGGTATTCTTATCTTTAATGTTTAAGACTTTTGAACAAGGAAAGGCAATGTGATCTGTAACAATACTTAGTAGCAGAGACAAGATTGGAACTCAAATCTGTTTGATTTCAATGTCCACATTCATTCTACACCATGTTTTAATAGAGATGTAACACCAATCTCAAAAGACAGAAATTCTTTGAGCTTCTGTTAGTAGGAAAGAGTTTAGAAATCTTAGTGATTTTCAGTATTATACTGATCTCATTGTAACAATTTAAAAAGTAGTGTTAATGATTCTAAAACAATAAGAAGGTCTTCATTTCCTCTTCCAATATTTCTCTACTGTTCCAAGAAACTTCTCAAAATGTCCTTCACCTGTTGCCATAATAGCACCACTCTTGCCATTTACTCTTACCTCATGGTCTCTTTTGTTATCCAACAACCAGAAGACTTTCATCATTTTTTTCAGATGTCAGAATCTCTGAATTCCAAACAGAATAAAAGTGTAGTTCACTTTATTGAGACCAGTATATTTTCTTAAAATAGAATTCCTCAACGAAGTTTTTTCTCTGATTTATCTGTGAATATTAACCCACAACTTGTTTTCTAGATTCTTTGTAAGCATCTAAAAAAAGAAAGAAAGAGAACACCTTTCAGTTCTTATAAATTAATAAATTTCAGTGCTAGAATTCAGGAATTTCACTGAAATATTCTAAATTTTGTGAGTGTTTTAACTATCATTACATGGAACAGGTAATGGTAATTACATGAAAAGGTGTTTTTCTCCCAGTACTTATCTAATCATATTGTTTTCATTGTCCTTTCTCTTCCTTTGTTTAGAAAAGCTTATTAGTCTCCTGAAAGATTCTGAGTTCCTTTGTATTTCCTCCTCATGAAAAATAACTTTTATAACTTGCTGTCAAGAATTCCCTCTGATGT